GTTCAAATCATATGTCATGTTCATTGAGCAATTAGATCCTATTATTGCCTGCTCAATCACGACACCTGGCATCTTCAGGTTACAGTCCTAAGGAATAACATTGTGTCTTATGGTATTGTTATTTTTCTCTGTTCCTTGGTATTTTTCTCTGATCTTCATTGCTTGCCTTAGGGGAATTTAGAGTCCCCAAAGATTATAAAGCTGCAGGCTTTCACTTTCTGATTCAAGCATCAATATAGACCACATATGCATGTACATACACACATATATGGAACACACATGCACACACACACACACACACACACACACACACACACACATGCACATATATGTAACAACCAATTGATCTCCATGGCTCCAGTATAGCTCACTGTAAATGAGAAGAACATATTGAACCCTATAAAAGGAAACTAGCAAACCAACGGAAATATGCTGACACTCCTATTTTAAGGGAAGGATTCTTTCTAACAAGGAAACTCCTAACTTAAGTCAGTACATTTTTTTATCAATCTAAATTTTCCTTTTACTTATTAAAACATACATACAGAATTTAAGTATATTAATGCTCATTCAAATCTTTCAAAAAACATGCCAAGCATTGGTGGTGCACGCCTTTAATCCCAGGACTCAGGAGGCAGAGGCAGGCAGATCTCTGTGAGTTCAAAGCCACCCTGGACTCCAGAGCGAGTGCCAGGAAAGGCTCCAAAGCTACACAGAGAAACCCTGTCTCAAAAAACCAAAAATCTTTAAAAAACATAAACAATAGGAAAGCAGGAACACTCATTTGAAAACAAGCCAGAGAACCACCTAAGTGAAATCCCTGGGACCCACATGGAGAAAGGACAGAAGTTTCCCTTAAGTTGTATTCTGATTCCCATGCACATATCATGACACTTGGAATCACAGTAATAAACAAACAAACCAAATAAATTCAATGATTTTTCCAAAAACAGAATAAGCACAAAACATTTATTATTTCACCACTTTTCATACCTATGGTGTGTATTACTTTCAGCTTGATGGAGTTGCTAAGCTGAGATTCCTATATGTTAGTGGTGAGCATTGGGGCATGAGTAACTGTGGCTTGGAGAAAGTTTATCATTTTCTTTAAAGTATGTAACAGAAAAATTATTAGAGACGTCAAACCAATGTGTTATACAGATGCATGGAACAGGAATGCAAAGCTATTAGAACAAGTTTGCTAGAAGAGGCAGTCAGGATCCAAGTTTCCTGGAGAGACACATGGTTAGAAAGGTTTGAGAAGCTGGGGATTCACAGAAGAAATCACCAGGCATTGAAACTCAGGGGGAGTTGGGTGTAGATGGGAAAAGTTAATGGATAGTGCATTTTCCAATTTGTATAACGTTTTTAAAACAGAAAAGTAAAAGAAAAATCATGCTACATTAGTTAAGAGTAAGATCAAACAATAAATATTTCTAATAGGTTTGATAGGCTATCAAACAGGGTAAAATAAGAAAAAGTGATTGCTTACAGAGGGAATAATTAGAAGACAGGAATTTAAAAGACGTTCTGGCAGAGACTATCAAGCAGGAAGGCTAGGTATAGAGCATTGACACTGATGTAAAGATGAAGGTCACCTGCGTTAAATAGGTATAGCAAAGAGAGAGAAACTAGCAGGCCAGCTGTCATTCACAAAGCAGACTTTGGCTTTCAGATGTACCCAAAATCCCCATTCATGGAGACTATGTGTTCAGTCCTTTCTATTAGCTACTTTTCTTATCACTGTGGTAGACACCTGACAGAAGCAGCCAAAGGCAAGAAGACCTATTTTGGCCTGTGTCTTCAGGGAATGCAATGCATCACGGTGAGATGAAATGGCATAGTAGCTCTCTCCAAGATAGTGGGGGATTCCCAGCAGGAGATGGAGGCTCATTCACTTTGTGACTGACAGGAAAATAAACTACATGGTTGGAACTAGAAGTGAATACCACCTTCCAGGTTCATCCCTGTTAACATTTGGCTAGCTAGACCACAGTCTGAAAGTTTCCACAACATCCCAAAACAATATCATCACATGGCAACACATTCAAACACAAGATGCTGCAGAGGACATTTCACATGCAAATAATACCGCTGTCATTCACCTTGAAAACGTGAATGCAAGCTCTATGAAATAAGAGTCTAACCTCTTTTATGTACTGTTAATTTGTCATTACCTAAAACAACAAAGACTGGGATCAGAAAAATGTGCCTTCAACATTTATAACTTCAAAATATAAATTTGAACTTTGTTTTGAATATTTTCTGATTTTTCCACATAATAGAGTTGAAAACTTGAGTTGGAAGCACAATTCATGCAGGATTGATTTCACATTATATTCTTGGATAATAGGGATAATATGGACATTTTATTTTATCAAGGTATCATGTTGCAATGTGGAAACTTACCTAAGGCAGTAAAACCAAATCCTGGTCATTTAGAATAAACAAATTGCTGTATTTTGTTTTCATTTTCTTTCCAATTGGTTGCTGTGACTTAGCCATAGAGCAACTGTGGATAATGGTGAATTATGAAGAGTAGCATTGGGATTCATCATCCAGGAGCAACAGTAGACACACACAAATACAGATGTGTGCATGTATATGTAATTAAAGTAAGTCTTTTCTTATATTTGTGGTTGTGAGACTAGCCTTTAATGGCTGAGCCATCTCTATTCTCTGATAATGAGATTGATGGCTACCTTATATGCAATTCTAGAGCCTTTATCCAGTAGCTGATGGAAGCAGAAGTAGATACACACCGCTAATCATTGAGCTGCACTCTGGAAACAAGTTGCAGAAAGGAAGGAGTGAGGAACAAAGAGGTCAAGACCAGGCTGAAGAAACCAACAGAAACGGCTGATCTGAACCAGCGGGAGCTCATTGAACCCAGACTGATAGCTGGGAAACCAGCATAGGACTGTTCCAGACCCCCTGAACAAGGATGCCATTTTGGAGGTCTGGTTAATCTATGGGGCTTCTGGTATTTATCAGATTTATCCCTAGTGTATGAATGGACTTTGGGAGCCCACTCTACATAGAGGGATACTCCCTCAACCTAGACACATGTGGGAGAGTCTAGGTCCTGCTCCAAATCATATGACAAACTTCTAAGATCCCCCATGGAAGGCTTTATCCCCCTGGGGAGCAGAAGGGGATTAGAAAGGGGGGTTAGTAGGGGGCAGGGGAGGAGGGGAGGGAGAGGGAAATGCGACTGAAATGTAAAACAAGCTTGTTTCTAATTTAAATTAGAAAATAATAAATAAAATAATTTAAAACTGACTCCTGCTCTCTCAAAAAAAAATTGAAGTAAGCTTTTTCTTTACCAACTGCATCTAAGAGTACTAACATACTTAAAATTAAATGGTGACATCTAGTTAAGTAGCACACAACATTTATAGAATGAACAATTTTTCATATTTGTGGAAATGATTATTTTCAAGAAAGCATACTTTTCTTATGCTGATAATATCAAACCTCGATCTTATTTTCAAATATAGGAAATATAATATTTATCTTCTAAAATGATATAAAAGCTGTCTTTTTGAAATATATCTTTGTTTAGTAAGAGAGTCTGTATACTTAGTATACTATTCGACTGAACATAGACTCATGTCTCTCAATAATTAGAACACATCCTGTTTTATTTGATAATATTTGTTAAACATAGCTATTTAATGTTCTAATATTAACATTCAATTTAGCTAAGGCAGTGAAAGCAAAAATCTCCTTTTTAAAGATTTATTTATTTAATATGCATACAGTAGTTTGCCTGCATGTATACCTGCAGGCCAGAAGAGGGCACCAGATCACATTAAAGATGGTTGTGGGCCACCATGTGGTTGCGGGGAATTGAACACAGGACCCTGAAAGAGCAGCCAGGGCTCATAACCACTGATCCATCTCTCCAGTCCATTAAAGCAAAACTCTTAGTCATAAAGAATAAATAAATTGCTTTTTTTTTCGTTTTCTTTTCAGTTGTTTGCTGAAGGTTAACCATGGAGCAACTGTGAACATTGTTTGTGGACACTAATAAAAGTAAGCTTTTACTTTATCAACTGCATCTAAGCTGATCCACGTGCTTAAAATTAGAGTCCTTCATAAATATTAAGATACTATTCTTATAATATGTTTATCACTTTGTATTCCAGAATTTTCCTCATATTTTCATTCTGATTTTATTTTTCTTCAATTTTTATTATCATTTACAGTTGTACAAAATAAATGCCCTGATTCTGAGATTTTCATGCATGTATGAATTCACTTTGCTCAAATTTTTACCTATTTTTTCTTTTCAGTAATTGTTCATTGGTTTTATTGAGATTAAATGAACTGGATCAAGTACATTTTGTGTAAAAAAGTACTATTATAGCTTGTAATTAAAAAAATATAAATTTAGGCTGCTAATGAAAAACAACAAGTGCTATTAAGTGGAAATTATGGACTCATCGTGATTTAGCTAAGGTAGATAACAGTAGTCCCCCAAAAATCGAAAGAAGAAAAAAAAAAAGAAATCCAAACAAACCAAAATAATGACAACGCTACCCGCAAAAACAGTAACAACAAAACAATCAAGAAATGCAGTAATTGTCCATTGAAATTACTGAGATATTTTAAGATTTGTATAGTAAGACCTCACAGCAACAGCATGCTGGGAAGTGGCTAAGCTGGCAAGAAAATCATCGCTATTAGATCCCATTCATGATTTAAATCCTGCTATTTTATCTTTTCATAACATGCAGTACTTTTCAACCTCACATTTCCAGGCATTTCAGCTCCTGCTGACATAAGTGCTTTCCCAAAATAGAATCTCACAGCAATCTTCTGCTAGACGTCTACGCCCATTTGTGCATGTATTTTTTAGAATGCTTTTTTCCCCCCTTTTTTCCCTCTTAACTGTGAGAAGGCCTGGAAGGTAGGATTAGAATGAATGAGGACTTGTTTTCTGAAACGACACTAGACACTTTATCTACTCTTAAAAAAATAAATCGGTCTCCTACCTTAAAAACAAACATCTCCCGCCGAAGAATAGCTAGAGTGTTGAAGTTCCCATCACAGATGTTGGGCTTGGCTCCTGGATAGGAAGGTCTGCCAGTGGGAGGCCGGGGAGGTTTTGGCCTGTCATTTTTCTTTGGGTCAGCCGGAGGAACAGATCGGTGAGGGGGCACTGTCGGTAGAGGTCTTGTGGGTGGAGGGATCTTGTCAGGTGGACCTTTTGAAAACATGAGGACAGTGCTTGGCTCACTTAAAACTGGAATAGTGCTGGAAGATACACTACAGAGAAGTCCTGCTTATCAGCCTCGGTCACAGACTACATAGACTAAGAGGTCGTTAAGATCGTGTATTTTCAGAAAACACAAACCCTCAAACCCTCCCAACAGATACCAAGGTTGTCTCAGACTCAGACTGTCCTAAGGCTGGAGTCCAGCTCCTAGTACTATGATTTTTTTGTCAATTTTTAGTGAGTTTTATTTCATACCTTCAACCCAGTCACTGTTGGGAAGCTGCTCTCAAAACCTGTTTGGATGTAGGTTTTCATGAAAAAACAGAAGTATGAGAATAAAGACTGGACTCATAACCGTGAGCTTTATTCAAGAGGAAACTGGACTTTAACAGATGCTGATTCCATGAAAATATTTCCAAAGATAAATACTAGCAAATCAAAGGTTATTCTACCATATGTCTCCAACTATTATAAGCTTTTACTGATTTCACTATTTTATTTTAATGAAATATCTTGATAGATAGCTCAGTTTTTCATTGAAATATTGAATCTAAAGTGTCCATTCATTAACATACCAGTGGTGAAATATTAATGTAAAGTATTTCTAAAAACAGGTTTCTAAGTAGAGCCAAAGTTTACTCATATAATTGGCAACAGATATTAGCCATCATTCCTCAAGGGATTGATGCTGTTTCTCTTTAATAAATAGAGTAATTCACACTTAATATTCAGATATTCTTTCATGGGCCTTCTGTCTTGACTACTAATTCATGAGGTCATGAGAAAGAGACTTCTTTGAGTTAACCATGTAGAAGGAATTTCTGATGACACACAGGGGTGATAGATCTCTCTCTCTCTCTCTCTCTCTCTCTCTGTCTCTCTCTGTCTCTCTCAATATCCAAGCTCTTTGGATTTGTGTCTGTGACATGCATCAGTATATCCAATCCAATTTCAAATCTGCTTTAACCCTAAGAGAATGATTACAACTTCACTATTGAAATAAAAAAAAAACAAATGAATGCAAAATAAATTACTGCACATGAATTATGTTGTTTAAAAGTCAAATCATACCTGCTAGATACTAATTGTTGACAGGCTGATAACACACACTTATCTTAACAGAAATGAAAGCTTTATTTCCTTAATCCAGCAAAACATACCTACTTTAGGCAAATAATGAATGTCAAAACTTTAATAATATGAGAAATAAATATATTTTAAAAATTCACTGATTGTACTGAGAAAGTTATGGTCATTGAAAATATGCATGATAGTTTTTAGTCATTTCTGTTAATTTGCACATGTCGAATAAAACCTTTAAGTAAAATATGATACTACCAAACCAGAAATGTAGTTCAGAATATTAGAAATGCAACGGATGCAATCTGTTGATAAAAATATTAGTCACATATGTGCTTTATTCACTTATTGTTTCACTTTCATTCTGACTCAAAAATTAAAACTTTGAGGTCAATATCTTTTTATATTACAAAACTTATTTTCTGGACCTTCAAAAGTGGTTTGTCTTAAAATTACCATAAATTTTAAACACTAAGTCCAGATGTCAATGGATGAGAAAGTTTATTTATATTATGTGACAATTTGCACTTTTAACTATTTTTATGAGTTATGTATTTCTTTTAATAAATTACTACTTAAATTACTACTGCACATTATTAGAAATTTTTTATAAGTCTATTTTTATACCAAACTCAACAAGAAAGCTCTGTCAGTATTTAAGTCTTTCTGGTAATCTACATATTAAGATTTAGGGAACTATTGCCAATGCAACTTGACTGATGATAGAGTTTTGCCAGTTGGATGGAACCTTTTACTTACATTTTTCTCTGTCTTATATACTTAAAGACTATACCTCAAAGGAAAAAAAATATGCACTTGACTTCCAACTGCCCCATACAATTAGGCAAAGAGGAACAGTGGAACCTACCATATATTTTCTGGATGCCCTGCAAATCATCATTAGGAAGCTTGAAGTTGTCTGTTTCCATGTACTGGTAAAATGGTGCCATGATAGCAGTGGGGTCATTGGAATGCTCCAGTCCGAGAGCATGTCCAAGCTCATGAACTGCTACAAGGAATAAATCATTTCCTGTCAAATGAGAAGAATATAGAGTAAGATTATTGCAACTGATAGCCACTGAGATGAAAAGGGCCACTTAATGATATCAAAACATTAACACAGAAAAATAAAAGGACCCCTTTACTCCAGTGGTCAGTATGATTTTAACATTTGCTAATGGCAAATATTTGCTTTAAAGGGTTGAAAAGGGTGATAGTGATGGTCAAGGTCGGATGGTTAGAGATTAAAAAAAAAGGTTTTAAAAAGTTTAAAAGCAATATCAAAACCCAGAATCACTGGTGTTATGGTATCTTTCAATCATAAGGTAAAATACATACATAATCTCTCATGAAATAACTACTACATTTAACACAATTTATGCAATAATAAAAATAAAGCAAATATACAAATCCTATTTCACACACAGGAATCCAATAAAGCCCAGAGGATTTGCTTGTCCCACTGATATCTACAGTTTGAACTCATGTTATTTTGACTCCTACATGAGGTCTCATATCTTACTAGCCAAGAATACAGGAACACTGGAACTTAAAATGCATATTTATTATCTATCATACTAATTACAGTTGTAGTACGCACTTAATAAATACTGATTCTAATAAATGCATAGGCTATATGAACCAAATGCATTTACTTAGAAACTTTGTTCTCCCACTGAAATTTTTCATTTAAGTAAACATGTATAATATAGTTTATACAATATAAATTCAAGATAAGTCTTGGGGTGATATTCAAGTCATTCTTCTACCTTCTCCTACTCCTCTTTCTTTCATTTTTCCATTATTTCTTCTTCGTTTTAATGATTCTTTAAATTTTTTATTTAATGTTTAAAGACAGGTGCCCTACATATTGCTAGGCCAACCTTGAACTTGTAGACTTCCTGTCTCAATCTCTAAAGTGCTAGGATTTTTAACTGTAAGACATGAACTCTAAGAATTTCTTTTAGAAGGGAAATGATTAGAGGTATTGGAGAGCAAGTGCAACACTTTCCTTGGAGGACTTGTTATGAATAAAAATAATATAAATAAACACCACTATCAGGAAAAAGCACTATCAAGTATTTTGCACACTATAATACAATTTAATGACCCCCTTTTGAGGATTATATAAATTTTTTGACACAAAGTAGGAAAATAAGCGTCTCAGAGGAAAGAAAGAGGTCATGTGACCATTTCTCATGTGACATTGGCACACTGAAGATGAGAGGGCCACAGAAACATTTTCAGCATCCCTTTATTCCTAGAGAAAATTGAATAGAGACTGATATAAAATTTTAAGGAGTTTTAAAAAAAAAGATGTTAATGAGCATTTTCAGACTTCAGGAACTTAGCTTCTTTTCTAATAAAATTAACTAATAATGAAAATTAAGACAAAAATATAATATTTGATTAACTGTAATAGAAAAATATATTCCTTTACTAGAAACTTACTGTTCCATAGATGCTTCAAACGCTTTCCCTACACTTTCTTATTCATTTTTTTGCAAAAATTTATGTGATTTGGTAATTTATAATTATTATTTCCATCTTAGCAAATCAGAAAAGGGCTGATGACAGTTTATAAAAATTTTAGTCATACAGTAAGGAAAAATAAGTATTCAGATGTTGCTCAGGCCACCTGCTGGGTGCTTACTTCTAATCACTAAAGTAAACCACATTCATTCAACTATAATAGCATTCACAAACTTTACAATGTGGCTACATGAAGGTAACACCATTCATAAAGTGATTAATTTATTCCACAATTGTTTAGTTATATCTACTTGTGTTAGGCTTTTTTGTAGGCTCTGACAATAAATACTGAACAATATAGAGATGCAACAAGCAAAGAAACAAGCAAAATAATCATTTACTTCATAGCATTTATACTGTAGTACAGGAGAGTAGGTAGAAACAAGGTAAACAAAGTAAGAATATAGTACATGAATGGCATGAAAATATCAAAGCACAGAAATGATGTGGTCAAAGAGAAAATCAGATCTAGAGCAAGCATGGCATTTTAGACAACAATAATATGTTGGGTACTAGTTTAAAGAAGATGGCACTCAAAGTTTCTGGGGAGACAAGGAACACAATTTATTTTAATTTGACTCTGGGAATTACTTTATAGCATCAATTTCAAGACACAAGATATAGTATGGGAGCTGTTGCATAGCAATTACCTCTAAGATAAAATTTTTCAGCTTTGAGGGAAGCTCAGATTCAGAATCTTAAGCAAGGCAAAGCATCTACCTTACCTTCAATGTCATTGAAACTCAGGATTTCCACAACTCAGTAGCTTCAGGAAATCCCTGACCAGATTCATTAGTCCTTAGTCTCCCCAAGTTTATACAGTAGTGATGATTGCAAAACAACACTTAGACTAGGAGAACTACCTAGGAGATGCTCAAACCAGCCTAGACACCTGGAAAAGACAGAAAGTCAAGCTACCTAGTAAGGTTCTGACGAACTGAGCTGCTGGAAAGACACACCTTCCAATCTATCAAGCAGCATGCAAGTTATACAGCAAGGTCTTCGTTTATAGCTTCCAAGAATCATCAATTATGCTAGAATGGGCATTTGTTGATGCAGCTATTTTTCAGTTATTTCTTCTTTTCTAAGTAACTTCCCAAAACTACTGGTTCACCAATTTGGACTTTAGGAATATCGTTTTGGTCAGTCATTGATTCCCTATCTGGGTTGAGTAACATTTTGTTCATGTCTCCCAAGGGTCCATTCACACAACAGAAAGTGTTATGGAAGTGAAATTAGAAAAAAAAAGAGGATGATAAATACCACAAGTCCAGTACTTCTAGTTAGAGGAACATGGAGTACAAAACAGACATTGTGGTAAAAAAAAAATACAGAGAATAAAAGTTTCTTTTTTGAGACAGAGTTTCTCTGTGCAGTTTAAGGAGTCTGCTCTGGCACTGGCTCTGTAGACGAGGCTGGACTTGGACTCACATAGATCCAACTGCCTCTGCCTCCCAAGTGCTCAGATTAAAGGAATTTGCCAACATAGCCAGTAAATAAAACAATTTTTAAGGAATGTAAAGGAACATACAATCAAGGTAAACTCTATTATCTGTTATCAAAAAGATTATGAGGATTAGTTTGATGAGCAAAGGAACATTAATGAGGATTTATTTGTAACTTCTCTGATACAAAAATTTCAAGAAAGAGGGGAGAGGGATGGAGGGAGTGAGAGAGAGGCAGGAGGCAGGGAGAGAGAGAGAGAGAGAGAGGGAGAGAGAGAGGGGGG